CACACTGATGTCCTAAGACATGAAACGATTGGTTTGTGCGAGAAACCGAACAGTATTTATATCATATTTTACCTCTAATACACCACTATGTCCAACTGTCTTTGGGCTCGCGCACGGCATCCGGTGCATGAGGTGTGTATGCGCTCTGGCGTAGTTTACGTTAATGGGTGTGTTGTCGAAGAGCAATCAACCATAACTTCAGGTGAGCAGGCTCAGAAGTTGGGAATACATGGAAAGTCACTACTCCCGAATGAGTTTGCCCGAGAGAACGTAATCTTTTAGTTTTATGTCGGTTTGAACAATCCGGATAAGCAAAAGTAAGTACCATTTTGATTAGCCGTCGTACCTACAATGACTGTGCACTGTGTAAACAATGAGTGACGTATACGAAGAGATCACTTCCGGCGCTTGCGTAAACTACACCAGAGCGTGTACACACCTCACGCACCGGATGCCGTGCGCGCGCTCAAAGACAGTTGGACATAGTGGTGGATTAGAGGGAAAATATGATATAAATACTCTTCGGTTTCTGGCACAAACCGATCGTTTCGTGTCTTAGGACATCAATGTGTCGCCACGAGCCGCAGGGTTTAATTTGGATTTGTCTGTGCATGTTTTTTTTACTCTCATAGATATTGTTACCATTGCCATGCATAATACGACTGATAGACTGCAACGGTTAAAGTTAAAAATCATCATATGTGTTCTACTGAAGAAACAAAGTCACCTACATCTTGGATGCCCTGGGGGTAAGCAGATAAACATCAAATTTTCATTTTTGGGTGAACTATCCCTTTAAGTGCATATTTAATATCAGTATGACTGAGATGGTTGTATTGGCCCTTATAACATACCATCATGGTGACCTTTCCTATCTCTGGGCCGAGAGTCTTCTGATAAGGGAGTTCACTGCTTCCAATGATCGTGATACTACTGGCCATATCTATCATATAGGCGGCCACTTCCATGCCTTCAATGTCAAACACAAAAGATTAGATATTATGGGGGGAAAAAACATGTTGAAAGAATAATTCACATAATATTTTGTCATCATGCTCTTTCCATACATTGATAGCAGACAGTGACCAAAAATAAAAAATGTTATTACAATTTAAATGCACTCGTTTCTATTATAATTTTAAAATGTATTTTTTTCCTGTTACATTACTCCAGTCTTCAGTGTCATATAATCCTTCAGAAATCATTCTAATGTGCTGATCTACTGCTCAAGAAGATTTTTTTTATTAGTATCAATGCTGAAAACAGTTTAATATTTTTTAATAACAGTTTAATATTAATTTAATATAAAACAGCTTGATATTTTTGTGGAAAATGTGACAGAAAATCTTTTAAATAACTTGTTTCTTTTAGATAATTTCTTACTAAAAATCTTACTTATACCAAGCTTCTGAACAACAGTTAATATATATTAAGATATACTTTTAAATATAATATTAACTAAAAAACACCTTACAAAAATACTTAAAATGTTCACATTTAAAGACATATTGCATATTATAAATATCTCTCTGTTATTTCTATCTATCTATCTATCTATCTATCTATCTATCTACCTACCTATCATGATTCTTCTTTGAGATACATCCATATATCAACTGATAACATTAGCTTTGTATATGGCAAGAAGACAGAGGGTGGTGAATGTGTGTGTGTGTGTGTGTGTGTGTACCAACAAAGGAAGTGCCCACAACGACTGTCCTGCAGCCCATGCAGGCGTAGTGGATGCACCGGGCATCCTCTGGTGTTTCCAGCATTAGCACATTTTCCAGGTTCACACCAGGGCAATCTAGACTTTTTGCTCTGAAGAACAAATATCAAGTAGTGTGTAAGTTTTGGATTCTGGGTGGACCGAAGTTGAGTAAAAGATGACAAATAATACCGTATCTAGACATATACAATAAAAACTGCAGTCAAATAATAGTTTATATATCAGTAACTATCATCAGACACTTACCTGCATCCTGTTGCAACAAGGATTTGGTCATAGCACTGGATTAAGCCATCATCAAACGTCACTGTTTTCTTGTTTGTATCTATTGATAAAGCCTGCACAAAGTACAACTCAGATATTGTCATGTGATTCTTGGTATAAATATAGGTATAAATGAGAGAGCCACAAGATTAACTCTCACCTCTTTTTTCAGCCAGACCTCAATATCATACTTGTGGAAAAATTCCATTCTTCTCATTAGGAGACTTTCGCTCTCAGCATTCATGATCTAAAACAAGATTGGGTTCAACGTTAATAATAACAGGTTGTAGAGCATTTATCACGTCTGTTTTATACACAGAAGGTCCTGGGTTCGAGCCCCAGTGGAACCATGATTTTGGGACAGTTGTAGCCTAATGGCTCAATTCTCAAAAAGGTTCAATTCTCAGTACTAGCAGGAAATGTAGGTGGAGGGAGTGATGAAACAACGCTCTTTTCCACCTGCATTACCCACAAATGAGGTGCCCTTGAGCAAGCTCCGGGGGTGCCACAGCAAACATGGCTGCCCACTGCTCCAGGTGTGTGTCCACAGTGTGTGTGTGTGTGTGTGTGTGTGTGTGTGTTCACTACTCACTGCTCCTAATGTCTGTGCACTAACTTGGATGGGTTAAATGTAAAGGACAAATTCTGAGTATGGGTTACCATATGTGGCCTTCACGTCACTTCATTAAAATGTGAAACAGATATGCTGTGGTGGCCATGCTGAATTTTTCATTACTTCATTCATCAGTGTCACATGATCCCTCAGAAATCATTCTATTTGGTGCTCAAGAAACATTCCTTATTATTATCAATGTTGAATATACTTGTGATGCTTAATATATTTGTGGAAACCCTGATACTTTTTAAAAACAAATATAGCATAGTCTGATTTAATCCTGGAAAGTTGGAATAGTTGAACAAGAATCATTGGAGTACATTTTACAAGAAATGTAAGTCAGTCTCTCTGCTTAAAAATGTCATGTTTAATTCGATGTTACTTGCCCTTTCATGATTATTTGTGAAATTTACCAGAAATTTTTGAGTGAAAAATACTGTAGTTTCAAAGCCAGTTTTTTTTCAGTGTATAAAAATAACAGAGAGTTCAACAGTAAAAAAATTGCCATGTGGTTTCAGTAGGCCTAAACCATAAGTATATCGTATATTAATACAATCTAGAATAATTTAAATATCTTTATGTAGAGTTTTACATTGCTTGCTAGGACCCAAAGCTGTTTGGGTTGTTCTGAAATTAAATAATTAATCTCAAACCACATGTGAAATGCTTTCAAATTGGATTTTGTAGATTTTTGATATTCATTTAGGAATATAAGATTAAAAGATAAGTTTAAACATTTTCAGAATATTCACCAACCAAGATGTAACCAGTAATGACAGCCTAATTGTAATGTTCGCATAACAAAATGAGATTGGTCTTTTTTCTTGAATTTATTGAATATTGCATTGTAATTGGTCTTGTCTTCCTTGCATATGTTCAAGCAATATTACACAAGCAAAAATGTTGATCTGAGTTGTGTGTGATAAATTTTACACAACAGTTCAATAAACTAGAGGTTAACAGAGTCAGTTACGGCAGTGAATATATTTTCAAGTGTAGCAGAATCAATCACTCGCGTGAAGGAATTATTCAATCATTCAAAATGTAGTCTCAGTAACGTAATGTAGTAACAGCAACTTTAACATCTTTTTCCTGCAAAAACAATTCTAGCAGCAGTTTTCACCTCACCTTGCTGAGTCTGGTTTTGTCGTATGGAAGGAGGTCATCTCTAGATACCATAATAATCCTGCCACCGTAGTTTTCTTGCCGTAGTGTCTCAGCACACATTAAAGAGGCTGCGCCTGCGCTCAACAATACACAGCAGCATTAAAACGGTCCACATAAATCAGCAAATACAGGGAATATCAGACATTTTTCTCTCACCTCCTCCAAGGAGCATGACAGTATGTAACACCGCTTGATCTCTGGCTCCCATCCATTTGATACGTTTAGGCTGACCCTGGATCTGCACAGAAAAGATTTGTAACATTTTACTCTCAGAATTGTCCTGATTTTGATTTTGGTTCCATACATTTAATGTAGAAGATAAAATGTCCATATGAAGGTACTTTACCCTTTTCTTTACAGACACATAAACTTTGTTGTTTTCGACTTTCACCTGTCAAGAAAAATTACAGATTAAATCAGTTAAATATGTTAGCCTGTACACTACCATCAGAAGTTTGGAATATTTAAAATATATTTTTAATTTTGTAACACTCCAAAGAGAAAGAAAAACTTGAAATTGCATCATATGACCCCTTTAAAGTCTTTATGTCAAGCACTCAAGAAATATATGGTAATACATGCCTTGTGGCAGGGCAAACAGTCAATTCCAGGATACTCCTCCAAGTCACCGGTCTTCACATTGAAACAGGAACCATGCCAGGGACAGCGGACCCTGTGACCTGACAGCACCCCTGCAGAGGAACCGTAAACACACTGTAATACTACAAGCTCACAAGACTTTTCATGTTATTTATCTAAGAAGATGGAAGCCAGTAGCATGCACCAAACTCGATTTCTATTGCTAAAACAGATTGGTAATGAGCTACCTTTGCTCAGTGGAGCACCATAGTGTGTGCACTGGTTACTGATGGCACTGTACACCCCATCACAGCGTACCAGCAGAACATTGTGGTCACCGACCTCCACCTCCGTCATTCTACATCACAAGATCAACACACATGCAGACATCTTCAGTTTTACACAGTGTGAGTGTCCTTCAACAGCTTTATATGTACAAAACGGCCACACTTTAGTTTGGGGACAAATTCTCACAATTAACTAACTATGAACCTCAAATTTGCCTCAGTAAACTCCTATTTTGTTGTTTATTAATAGTTTGTAAGGTACTTTTAGGTATGGGGTAGGATTAAGGGATGGTCATGCAGAATAAGGCATTAATATATGAAGAGTTCATTTGCAAAAACCGATAAACGCCACTTTAAAAAAAAAAACATGAGCTGATTGCCGTGCATTATTCTCCACATATAGACCGATCTGAACCCTAAACACGTTTTGTCAAAAAAGCCGTTTTTTTTAAACTCTAAAACATGAAATGTGGAGTTATCTGCTTTTGCTATAAAACAAACTTTTAATATGTAAAAAAAATACTTTTAATATTGTAAATTACTTGTAATTGTTTAAGTTATTATTACTTAATCAAAACAACCCAACTGCAATTTGATTGATATTACTTGGAATGCGCAATAAAAAAAATTGATTTCTGAAAATAAAAAAATGTATCGGTTTTTGCAAATGAACTCTTCATATGCTTTATAAGTATTAATAAACAGCCAGTATGCTAGCAATATGCATGCTAATAAACAACTAGTCAATAGTGATAATTGGTCCCTAAATTAAATTGTTACTATATAAAACATACAGTATGACTTTGAAGAAATTTACAGCATTAAAAACAAAAGATCAAAACTGTTTAAAACATGATGCAACTATCTGTAATCCAGTTTCCATATGCAAATAATAAAAACAATTCTATTTGATTTTTGAATTATTCTTTTGTGGGTTTTCATTGATAAAATCTTAAAATCTTTCATAAATAAATATGTATATTAAAACTATAATACATACAAATGAAAAGGACAATAATTTATGTGGAACCTACTCTCCATCTTTGAGTTCTGCCTCGTCACATACGACATCTGTCACCTCTTCCTCTGGCTCCAAACCAGCCACTAAACCTATAACCATAACAGCCCGGATAAAATAATAAATGACATCACTCATAGCAAGAAAAATGCCATGGAGAAAAACATAATATCACAATGATTTCAACACCATATAATGAATTACATAATCAAATGTTAACTAAGTCAACAGCATAACGGCACTGTCAGAGCAGTGAACTAAGAATATTCCATTAAACAAACAAAATCAATAAATGTTTTTTTTTTTTATTAATGCATTTTCAGTTCATAGTATTCTTTTTAGTGCTGGGCAACAATTAATCCCGATTAATCTCATCCAAAATAAAAGTTTTTGTGTACATAGTATATGTGTGTGTACTATGTATATATAAATACACACACATACAGTATATATTTAAGACAAATATGTTATGTTTATATATTAAAATATAATATAAATTATATGAATATAAATATATACATGTGAATATTTTCAAGATATAATATAAATTATATGAATATAAATATATACATGTAAATATTTTCAAGATATATACTGAATGTTTATGTCTTTATATATACATAATAAATATACACAGTACACACACATATATTATATAAACAAAACCTTTTATTTTAGATGTGATTAATCGTTGCCCAGCACTAATTCTTTTATTGTAGAAAATAATATAACAAATGATTGGATGCTTACCTGATTGTACCTCAGACATCACAAGTTGATCAGTAAGAGAGGATTTTCTCCAGTAAATGTTTTTGAAAAACTATCCTTTCTGCTGTCAAACAATCAAACTCTCGGGACGGCTGTCATGACCGTAATGAGCGGTTCACAAGTCCCTAATCCAGGAGACCAGATCTGACCTCTAGGCATTTCATCATTCAGATGCTCAGACTAACTCATGAATTTGATTACTCCAAAAAAAAAAAAAAGGGGGCCCAATTTTGGGTTTTGGGGGGGGGAAAAAAGGAAATTGAGTTTCTAAAAGCCAGTGAGATTGCGTAAAGTGTAAAGAGGCCATTTAGTTGAAGCACAATGCCATTTGTTGTGGTATATAACAACAGAAGAGAGAACGGCTGAGCAAGCAGCACACAACAATAGACGTGTGCACAGGGCAAAGTGCGTGACTCTGCACCTCTCTCTAAAACACTGACACTCCTGTTCATACGCTCCTCTCAAGATACAATTGATCTAAACTGACCTTAAAGAGTTTTTACTGACATATATACTGTATAATATACAGTAGGTTATACTATACACTATTCTATACTTTACAAATTGTATACTGATTACAGATTACATGATGAAAACTGTAGTAACGTAATCTAGGTTACTCATTTTATGTAATGTATTCCGACTACTTTTTAGATTACTTTTAGTCTAACTTGTTTTAAACTCACCATTAAATGAGTCATATCGATATAAAAAAGCAAAGAGAAAGAAAAAATATTCCATGTTTTGATATCAGCATCATGAAATGCATTAAACATTAAAGGGTTCCCCAAACTGGGCTGAGAACTGCAGCGGATTTGTGAGTTGATATAAAGCTAATAATGAATTAAATCATTACAAATGCTAAATAGATTATTTAAACACTTGGACATTTAAAATATAAATATTTGTTTGTCAATGTGACCATTGATGACACTGAACTGTACACATGCGAATGTGTTGTTAAATTATTGAAATATCAAACCAACATTGATATTGTCTTTCTTTTTGTACAGATCTTGTAAAAATTTTAAGTTGATTCATTTTAGATTATTTACAAGTATTTTGTCTTTTTATAACTATTTAGCATTAAACATTGATCAACAAATGACATTATTTCAGACATTATTTCAATGATTTCTGATGTATACAGAGTATACAGTGAAATTCTTACTGCTTCCCCCAAATAATTATAGCAGCAAATTTACAGACAGGAGAGAAAAGATCTTGATATAAGAGAAGCAGAAACAGAACATCTAGCTAAAATTATAGTGTTGTCTTCAGAATGACATAACTCCTCACAGAATAATGTTTTAAACTGCTAAACATCTCTAATACACAATAATATTTCCAAATTAAAAAAAGAAAAGGAATTGTTTCTACAAACACACTTAGACCTCAAATCACAACCTTGCTAGCAAACTGGGACACTTTCATATTTTATTTCAAAGTCGGTTCCACAACATCAATCTTTCTTTATACATAATTGTTACAAAAGATTTATATTTTGAATAAATGATGTTCCTTATTGACTTAAATGCCGTTCTTTTTGAAGTATATTAAAATAGAAAAGCGTTATTTTAAATTGTACTCATTTTTAACAATATTACTGTCACGAATTCAGTCCATGGACTTCTGTTTATTCACCACCAGAGGTCACCCTTTCCATTTCATTGACTCTCGCACTACACAAACTGTTGCAAAGCACCCCGGACTACATTTCCAATCATTCTTTGCACAATTTGCACACTGCCCTGATTGCACTCATTGCACACAGCTGTTTCTAATTACCTCATTCACTATATAACACCCACTCTAACCAC